CAGAGCACAGGCACCAGGAAGAACTGCCCTGCTTGCCACCTTATTCATGCACAGGGAATTTCCTGTGCAATAGAGGGGAATGCAGACTCAGCACAGTCATCTTGGTTCCAATAAAAAGTAGCAGCATGTCGGTGCCAGAATCTATAGCTGTTTTCTTATGAATCCATTTTCTGTTAATCTGCTTCAAGCAACTGCTTGGCTGATGAGAACTGTCCTCTCCCTTCGCCTGCCTGGTGGCTGTCCTTGGTGAAAAAGCCAAGTTTCTTCAAAATGACGACACCTAACTAAGCATGGAGCACCCGTGAGATTATAGACAGAAGGGGACCTGAGAATCAGCTAGCCCAGAGTTTGGCAACCTGTTTTTGTAAAGAGCCAGAAAGTACATATTTTAGTCTTTGTGGGCCATACCATGTCTATGGCGATCACTCAGGGCTGCTGTGGAAGCATGAAAGCAGGCATAGGAAATACCAAAAAAGACAAAAAAAAATGGCTGTGCTTCAATAAAATCTTTTCTAAAAAAGCCTATGAGTTAGTTTGCTAATCCTGATCTAGACCAGCCCCTTCATTTTCCACGAGGAAACCGAGCCCCCCAAATTTCCCTGATGTGCTATTTTTGCATAGCTGGGGAAAAGCAGAGTCCAGAGTGGAACTTGGTTTTCTTAAGTCTCAGGCTGCTAATTTCCCCACTAGTTCATTCCACCTACAATCAATCATCATCTCATACCCCACAGGTGGATCAGAAAAGACACACTCAAGCATTAGGGATGTCGTGATCTCCCTGAAGGCTTGTAAAAAGCCCAAATAAGCACATATAACAAATGAATCCAGGGGGAAATAACAGATGGACTCAGCTGCAGGTTAGGTCTTGCCTTTCACATCATATTTTACATGTCTAAGCAAATTTTGTGCACCCACTCATGTCCTTCAGTTAGTATTTCTCTCTTCCTGAATCATGGGTTTTGCCTTGCCCCAAAGTGGGAAACTTCATTATAGGTGGCACACCTGCCTCTTTAAGGGGTGGTGCGTAAATCTTGTCCTTGGATTCCCTTAATTCCAAATCCTTACCTGACACTTAATGCCCGCGAGGCTGCAGGTACACGTTTCTGGATCACAGAACACTCGGCAGTCACAGCCACAGTCCTCTCTCGATAGGCGGATGGCTCGAAGCTCGTGCTTCTCCTCCACGTCAATCTTCTTCACGCCAGAGGCCCGCAGCAGCGCTCTCCGCTTTTTTGTTGGCAGCGGTTGTAGAAAGAAGTACTCGTCTACCTCGGTGTTGTCCAAGTCAATGTCATCGTCAGAAATGTCATCCACGGTAAGGGTGCTAGCTTCTTCAGATTCCACGGTGCCATTCTTCGTCATCTAGAAAAACAAAATAGCAAGTAAGAGACTTAGTGTGGGCAGGGTCTAGCATCCCTAATTTTACATGTAGTAAGAATGCAATGATTATACATCATTATGTACCCATAATCAATGAGTTGAGGGTCAAATGATTTCTTTTTGTTTTTTGCTTTAGAGAATCACAGGAAGGAAAATGAAGGCATCAAATGACAGGCTGTGGACTGGTACCAGAAGACTGTTCGTCGGAACTTAACCTGCTAATGTCAGGAGCGAGAGCTGGTAGTGCTCTCGGCCCCTGGGGTGTGGAGAAGACCAAAGGTTACAGATGCCCATCAGCGAAAGCTATCCTTAGATGCAGTTCACAATGATTAGCTATGATGTTGGAATGAATGTGTCCTTGTTTGGAGGTAACAGCATCTTAGCAGAAGCCCTGGCCCCCTAACTCAGCAAACAAGTTGCCCTTGAAATAACGACCCTGTCTTTTCAGATCAGCAAAGCCACGAACTAAAAAAATCAAGTTATGCTGCTCCGTGCTACTGGAAATTCAAGCACGGTTACCCTTCGGAACATTCCAAAAGGAGGGCTTGATATGAAGTCATCAGTCAGGTCAGCGTGCGAACGGTAAGACAAGCAGCAGAGGGCAGTGCCGCAGGCGCTCGCCAGCCAGCCGGCAGCTGAACAATAAACTCGGCCTCAGAGGGCACGAGGGGAATCGGTACCAAAGCAATACCTTCTGCATCGTAGCCGTGTGGACAGCTGTGCCTCCTCAGCTTGTAACTATTCTGTTTCTATTTATATTTCTTTCTAAATTAATGTTATCCATCAGTAAACCCTGAGCCGGTATTTCCCTCCTTCCTGTTACACCACCTCATATTCGGTTTCCTTCATAAAAACAATTTCAGAAAGATACATGTTCTCTGGATACAAGCGAGAAATGCATCCTGAGAAGCAGCACACACATGCAGAAACTCCTTAAGGGATTACCTGAGGAAGTGCTAAGTATATCCGAGGAAGTGTTAAATACAAAAGCTATTTTGATTCTCTAATTTTTAAATTTGTTACTACATAAATACAAATTAGTTGTAATTATTATCAGGCTTCATGATCTTAACAGTTCAGTCATTACACAGTTAAAACACTCTGGTGACATCATACATCATTCTTTGATTCTCACAGGAAGAATTCCAACGCTTCAATAAGAATATTTATTATTGACCAAGAATCCCAAACCAGACAATGCTGAATAGGCAGCTGACCCCTGAACGTCATGGGTTGGAACTGCACAGGTTTACTTTCAAGCAGATTTGTTTCGATAAACATATTGGAAACATTTTTGGAGGTTTGTGACAATTTGAAAAAGAATCTTTTCTCTAGCTTATACTTTCCCATAAGAATATGGTATATAATATGTATATAAAGTGCCCCCAACTCCCAAGTTGTTCAAGGATCAACTGTAATGAAAATCAAGCAGAAGACTGGCCTTTGTTCTCAGGTGGGGAAAACAACACAGTAGTAATTGTATATTACATTATCAAGGGTTGCTGAAATCTATTTTCAAAAGCTAATACATTATGTTTTTTTAAAGTATTTCAGAGCTTAAATCTGTATTCTTGCAAAGATGGACACTCTCCTCTACTGGATTTTGTTTCGCAGAGGGATCTGCAACATATTGCCTTTCCTTCCTTGTCCCTTCTTTATACCTGCGTTGGTTAAGCTGTTTTCATGGTTCTGTGATGTCCACTACTGGGATGTGACTGTTATTGTTGCTTCTGTCATCAATTTTTATTTGCTAACAGAAGCATTCTTCTATCTGTAAAAATCTGATTTTCTAAGAAATTCAAGTGTGTAATTGCCTAACATACACTCAATCCTCTGTTGCACTGTCAGGAAGAGTTTCCTTTCCCATTTAGATGTGTTTTCATTAATTCTTGGTCTCCGTGAACCTCATCAAGTCTTTAACCCCACAGCACACATAGAACACGCAGGACTTGGTTAGCATGACTCATTTAAATGTTTCTTTCCTACTTATTTCCCATGTTCTATATATTTATGCTCTCCTGTATAACTGGTAATGCCACAAAAACACCAAAAAATCATCTGTTTTATTTCAACAGGGCTTGATTAAAAAAGAAATAACAGTTGTTATCCTATCAATGAAAAATTTTAGGGCAAAATGAATAACCAATTGGCATCTAAAAGTTTTTTAAAAACTGTATCTCAAAAAGACTACAGATGATGCTTATTCCAAATATAAATGCTTTCATTGGCCCACAAATTACCCAGATAAGATCCCTTCCTGTCTCAGTCTATAAGCAGAGAGGAAAAAGTAAGTAAACAGCAGACCTTTGGAGAGTAGCTCCTCTGTTCCCCTGCTTTAGTCACCTTGGAGGTGATGAGTAATGACTTAACCCATTACTTATTTTATTTGATTTAATGGTCTTTATCTTATTTAATTTTCATCCTATATATGTGTACATTTGTTTACATTGTATTGGAAGGATTCAAGGTCAAGGACTGTGGGATGTGTGTGTGTGTGTATTTGCGTGTTTTGTTCCAGTGATGATACTTAAGATAGGACTTAGTTGTTGAGCCACTGTGTACACTTGTTCAGACTCATTCTACATAGTAAAGGACTATAATTTGTTTTTAAGTAGATAGAATTCAAACATCTTAATTTTGTTCAGTCTTTTTTTTTTTTTTTGGCATTCATGTAATAGATGAGTTCCACCGTAAATTCCAAGGAGATGAAATGTGGGGTGAATTAAGTGCCTGAAAAAACTAATTACATGCAAAATGAATATGGAAAGGTAAATACTGAAAAGGTGGACTGACTAAAATGTTAAAAACAAAGCAAGAATCCACAAAATAAAAACACTTCCTTTCTGCAGTTGAAAGATATTCTTAGTAATAAAATCTCCTGGTTATTACCAAGTTATTAATACATGTAAGAATGATGGTGGAAGTAAGAATGTGGAAAATCAATTCCACAAACACTGATTACTGCCTTTTGTAATGATGACAGTGATGTTGAGAATGACCCAAGCTCCTATATATTGAAACCAGTCACTGAGCTCCATATTTCATATTATCTCACCTAATTTGTCCAGTAAATTAGGAACTATTTTATGAACTAATTTTTTTATAGTTAAGAAAATTGGAGCCTTTAGAAGATAATTTGCTGAAATCTAGCTGCACAGTTAAGTAGTGATTGTACTGAGAATCAAATTCCGATCTGTTTGAGGTCTATTTGACCTTAACATTCAAGCCAGGCTCACAGTCCAGTTTAGAGTAAAAATTCTTCAAGCAATAGTAGAAAACTAAATAGAAGGAACAACAACAAAAAGGGATGGAGTTGCAGACACACTTCCAGGAGCTGATCTCAGCGTTGTGGGGCACAGGCAAAACAGCAGTAGAAACGTCCTTAGTAATTGCTCATTCAGAGACAGAAAAACACAGAGAACAAGAACACAGAGAAGAAGAAAACAGGAAGCAAGCTGATGCATTTCCTTTGGGGACCAATTTTGTGGGCATGGTGAGGTGGCCTTTCTAAAGGAGATGCCAGCGAAAGTAGCTGGTCCAAGTGATAGCTACTGCTGAACTAATGTATTCCTCTTGATTTTTTCATCCAACTCATTTACCCTGGTTTGCATTTAATCAGCACGGTACGCTGCCTAATTTTGTAACAATACATTAGTTTTGGTGATTGGTTTCATGAATCTCTCTCCCATAATAATGTAAACACACCGAGAATCTGTCTTGCTTGCCACTGTATCCCCAGCACTTTGTTAATTAGCCCCATAGTAAGTGACTAATAAATATTTTTTGTATGCTGAATGAATGAATATTTTACACCACACTATACTGCCAACCACCATACTAGGCATCAGGACGTACAGACGTATGACAGTTCTGCCATCTAAGGAGCTTCCAGTCTGCTGCGGAGATGACCGTGCAATAAATATGATGCAGTGTGGTAAGTGCAAGAAACTGTACATACGAGTTATAGAAGTTGCTGGGAGGAGGAAGTAAGAAATAAAATGGGAGGGTAGCTAGCTACAAAGATTCAAAGCAGAATTATTTACTTCCTTTTCTGATTCCATAGTCTCTCCCAAGGAGAAAAACCTTCAAACCAGAAATCGGAGAACAGCTTTGCTAGGAAGGATTTCATGTAAAAAAGAGGTAGAAAGACAGTGAAAAAACACTCATCTGTTTTATGTAAGAATCCCCAGGTCCAGACAGCTTCTGTTTTTGAGCAGTGAAAAAGCTATGACTGGTCTGTCTACTGTCTGTGAAGAATTATGGGGAAAAGAATGAAAAGATGATCAAAATGGGAGTGAACTGTCAAAAAAAGAAGCTAATTCTAGTTAAAATTCTAGGGAGGGTTATTTAAACAGTTGGTTTCAGTACCTGTGAAGAAAGAGAGCAGGGGATACTAGACTACTGTTTGGACCCCCCAAAGAGAGAAGGTCCGTTTGAGAAACTAAACGCCATGTAGAAGCTCAAGATATAAAATAGATAAAAGTGGGAATGAGGTGCACAGAGCCCCGACCCCATGGAACACAACTGGAAAACCATTAATCTAGGTCTTATGGGGCTTTAGGAAGGATGGAATGTGAGCCGCTGAGTAAGTCCTGCTGGATATGTGAATTTTGAGTTATTGAACTGTGAAAACATCTCTAAAGACAGTGACGCTCAGCTCCTTCGCAGCACCAGCGCAGCTGGGAGTGGGGAGGGGCACATACACCCCGGTCAGCACCCGTGGCCTCTCTGGCAGTGAGTCTCCATGGAGGCCACGGTGAGACGGGGAGGGCGAAGCTCCCTCTTTTCTTCTGATTTATCACTTATCGGGGAAGATGTCCTGAATGTGCCCTTCTCTTGTTAAGTATGTTTTTTAAGTCATATCTTGGATGAAGACCAAAAAGAAAGACTTATCACATCTGCAGATGATAAGATTAGGTTTATTCAAATAAAAAAATCCACTTTATTGACCAACTCTGTGCCATGTCCAGCACTAACAAGGA